CGGTTTCGTTGGCGGGGAGGGCGAGGATGACGTCGCCTACTTGTAGGGTGCCGGCGTCGATGCGGCCTGATATGCTGAGTGGAGAGCGTATGTCGCCGCGGAAGACATCGGCGACGGAGAGGCGGAGGGGTTTTGTGAAGTTCCGGGTTGGGAGGTCGATGCGTTCGAGGGCTTCTAATAGGGTCTCTCCCGTATACCAGTGGGCGGCGGAGTTTTCGATCTTCTTCACGACGTTCTCTCCCGTCAGGCCTGCGAGCGGGATGAAGGTTATCCGCTTTTCGAGGAAGCTGGCTTCGGTGAGGAAGGCAGTCATACGTTTTGAGATATCGTCGAAGCGCGACTTTGACCATCCGACAGTGTCCATCTTGTTCACAGCTACAATGATATGTTGCATACCCATGCTGCGCGCGATCAAGATGTGTTCCTTGGTCTGCCCCTTAAGACCAGACTCGAAGCTGTTCGTACTTGCGTCGATGACCAGGACGGGAAAGTCGGCTTGTGATGCACCTGATATCATGTTGGGGATGAAATCCTTGTGTCCGGGCGCGTCCAGAATGGTGAATTTGGTCTTGTCGGTCTCGAAGTAGTTTGTAGCAATGTCAACGGTGACACCACGACTCCGCTCTTCGCTTGTCTCGTCCATGACCCAAGCAAGCGCGAACGAAGATTTGCCGATGGTTTCTGCTTCTTTCCGTAACTTGTCTATTGACCGCTGGTCGATGACTTTGAGATCGTAGAGCAACCGCCCCATGAGCGTACTCTTGCCGTGATCGACGTGGCCTGGGGAAGTTAACATGGAAGTTTCATAGCATCGACGATCGCTTTTTACACACCAAGTACTACAAAGTTCGCCAACCGCTTCGAGGCGCTCTTCTCGAACTCATCCACGACGTTCAGGTTCTTGCTCTTCACTCTGGGTTCGTCGGCCACGGTAAGCTTCTCGACCGATTCGGTCAGGTCACCGTTGGTCTGCTTTTTCTTCTTCTTTGGTGTTGTTCCTGTATGATTTAGAGATGTTCAAAAAGAAGTTGTATCAAAATCTAGTGACGTCCGCCACCTGCGCCCTTTGCCTGTGCTGCCCGCACAATGTCATCCGGACTCGGCCCAGCAAAAGCACCAGTGCCATCATACGATTTGTACGCAGCAAAGGGTAGTGGGACCTCTTGTAGCGGTGCTTGGGGTTGTTTCGATGACTCGTCAGAGCCGCAAAGGGTGGAAGCGAACATGGAGGCGGTGGCGCGTTGAGCTGGCAATTCGACGACTACGGCAGGCTGGGGTGCTTGGGGCTCTTCTTTCGGGGCTTCTGGTGCTGGCGATGGCGACCGTCTGCGGATGGGGTATCGAGAAGGACGAGCTGGGCCAGTGCCGCCGAGAGAAGGATTGCCACCCTCCTGGTTCTTCACTGAAAGCTTGTCAAGCATGGCGATGGCCGAATCCGCATCGTTGTTGGCTTTCGAGGCAGCAGCTTCCGCATCTTCTCGTTCCTTTCTTCGCTTCGCCGCAAGAGCAGCCAGCTTTGAGGAGCCCCCAAGTAGTCCGCTTTTGTAGTGTGGAGGATCAACGGTGATGACGCCCAGTCGTTCGGGTGGTACGTTGCCCCAGGGCACATCCCAGAAGAAGTCTGTGACAGCGTTGGTAGGCATCGCATCGAGGTTGGGGCAACGGTGGAGGATGACAGCGAGGCAGCAGACGCGTCTACATAGCTAGAGTGGAGTGGAGGTGAAGATTGGAGTGTAGTGAGCATGCTTACCTGTCGTAACCGGCGCCTTCTCCTCCGCCACACTAGCAGCTTGATCGAACCTCGACACTGTCTTTGCCTTTTCCTGCTTGGGCCTGCACCAAGTTAGCATCCGTCTCACATCCAATTCTTCGAGAGATTACTAACACCTCCGTCCTCACTTCCCCCACCCCAAGCCTATTCTTCAAATAACTAACACTCTTCCCAACATCATAGTAATAATGCCAAAGCGCCTCTTGTATCTGCTCGTCGCTCGTAAAGTCGCTCTTATCCCCCAGCGCCTCGCGTACTCTCATGGTACCTGCACGCATCTGCTCTTTATCGTCTTCTGTCATGCCGCCGTCTCCTGCATCGGCTCCACCAGCTCCGGCTTCTTCTTCCTCGTAGTAATCGTCATCGTCGTCGTAGATGTCGTCGTCATCGTAGTCGACGTTGCGCGTGCGCGAGAAGCCGCTTTTGGGGGGCATCGTAGCGGTAGTATTACGCTAATAGATCGAGGTATGTGGGAGATGTTGGTTGCGCGCGTCGTGGATGAGTCGTTTTCGCAGGCGTGTAGAAATGTTTCGGGAGAGAGTAGCTTTCTAGTGTGAATTATCGCGTCCCTTGGTTGACGTCGGTGGTGGGGCTTGCCTTGACGTGTAGCGCGGGCTGCTATTTGCCCCGCGCTAGTTAGAAGCTTTGGGCAATGCAATGACGATGATTCGTTTACTTTTCACTAGGCAAGAGAGAGCTACAATCATCATGGAAATTGCTCGATTCAAGTTCAAGCTCGCCAACAGCTCGACACACCCGTCGAAAGATACAGCAGTGGGGTATAGTATTAGTGGAAAGAGACAATGCTGAAAACCCTGGCCCGACACTCGCCCTTCGCCCGCTGTATTCAAAAGATTTTTTTGGTAGTTTTCTGACCTATTTCTGATGCGGCGTCTCCTCAACTGTGCGGTGATGCCCAGTGGCTTCTCTTAAGTCGAAAAGGAAGCTCCCTATTTCTCCGCCTTCTCCTCAGCGGCGGCTGGGGCAGCAGTGGTAGCGGTAGGCTCAGCGACAGGCGCAGGCGCAGGAGCAGCGGGAGTGGGTTCCGCAACCGCAGGGGTTGGTGCAGGGGCGACGGGCTCCTCAACCTGTGCAACGGGAGCTGGTGCCGCAGCTGGTGCAGCGGGCGCGGCAGCCTTGTCCTCGCCAAAGTTGGGCTCGTCGAACATAGGACCGCTTGTAGCGCTCATGCCGGCAGCGGGCTGGCTGGTAGGCACAGCAGGCATTTCCACGGGGGCAGCAGGTGCAGGTACAGGTGTATCGGTGACCTTGGCCTCAGTATCCTTGGGGGCCTCGGTGGCAGTGGGCTGAGATTCGGCAGCAGTCGGAGGAGCGGGCGCGACGGCACCAACAGGCTCGGGGGCTGGAAGACGATGCGTTAGTCTGGGTGTCTTGAGCGATGAAGAGATATAAGAAATACTAGTCAAGACAAATGTCGTATCTCGCTTAAGTCGTAACGTGCTGGTGGAAGTGCGCTGGTGCTAACACATAGCCATCCATCTGGTGCAAGAGTCCCACACCTAGATGGGGCCGTTCCACTGGTTGTCTAGGTCGACCTTCTGTCGCCGCCTAGAGCCATCGCAGGCTTCGTTCCCGCGGTACGGTAGTGGACTGGAGTGTGAACGAGATGTAAACCTACTGGACGTGGCCTTCTTGACCTCAGTCAGGGCCGCGGCTTCATCCTTCTTCACCTCGCTCTGAGCTGGATCTGAAGCTGGAGCTGCAACGGGCTCAGCAGGCGCTGGCACTGGTGCAGCGGGCTCGGCGCTGGTAGCCGCGGGTGTCGTCTCGGTCTTTGCGGGCTCGGGTGCAGTAGCAGGAGCTGGGGCAGCCGGCGTAGTCTCGGTGGGCTTGCTCTGCGCAGGCGTAACAGCAGCGGCTTCACCCGTGGCCGTGGGCTTTGGCTCTTCCTTCTTGGACTTCTTGCCCCTGAAGAGACCCTTGAAGGCCTTCTTCATCTGGTCCATGGCGTCGAGTGCTGTTGGAGGGATGTGTCAGATAGCGATTCTGTGGGTGTGCTCGTGACCACACGGGCTAACGTGGAGGATCATGGCTTGTGGTAGGTAGGAGTTTGCGCGGATACAAGCAGACATCAAAGTAGCCAACTGCCACGACGAAGTTTGCAAAGATGCAAGCGCGTCGAATCCGGAGATGGACTCGATTTGAAGAGTGGAAATGGATGAGGATCGCACTTACGAACTCCCGGCATGCTGACGACGGTGCTAGCTAGCTGCTAGATAAGCTATTGAGGGTTGAGGGACAGCACAAGCGTGCGCAAAGAGAACAGGGAAAAGAAATGCAATGGATGAGTCGCTAACGGCGGAGAATATCTAGGTCGCGAAGGAGCGTGATGATGACAGCGAGGCGCGCGGAGGATGTCGAGTTGACGAAGCTCTGTTGTTCTAGCCGGGACCCTGACACGCTAGCCAACGTCTCCACCTCCGCACTATGCACGCCAGATGCACACCATGCCACCAAAAATAGCGCCTTCATGCACTACCTGCACGCAATCAGCCGCCGTTGGTGTTTCACCTGTCGCTCGAGTACACTACAGCCATGCAGGACATCCTCCAGTTGAACCATCGCGCCTACCGTTTCCAAGGCTGCCAACGAGGCCGCCGATACCACAGAGATTAGACGCCGCTTCGGGTTAGCGCTGACTCGCCCTGCATCGACGACGATCGGAGATTTTGTGGTTTATCGTAGCACGTGAGTTGCACAACATTACACAATATTGTCCTAGAGTTTACATACTTCGCGCATTTTAGATGTCTTAAAATATAGTGTTTTTGCGATGTTGCTACAGCATCGGCCTGAGTTTGCGCAGCACCGAGGATACTCATGGATAACATCACCAAGCACAGGGCAAAGGGCCTAAACTTGGGCTCATGCTGATGATGAACCGAAAAGGCCCGTCTCTTTAGGTGTCCATCCGATGCGGAGGCTCCGAGAATGTCGAAGGATGTCTACTCCAAGCTTTGCAGAAATGTCGTTTTCCTGTCTTTTTGGACTCTCCTTGCATTCTCCTTGCATTACAACGAATATATAAGCCACTGGGTATCATTCAACCCCATTCAAACCACGCTACACCTGATATTCACTGCGCCTTGGTCATGTGATACCCACATTCTGCTCTACACACGTGCACGCTCAGATTTCAGCTGCTACACAGCCCTCACGCTCTCTTCGGAGTTCCCTCGAAAGAGTCCAAGGCTCACTTTGCAACGACATGGATGTCAGCAACGCCACAAGGGTGGATGACCAACTTGGGTCAGTGTTTGCAGTATTGGAGAGCAGCCTCATCGTACAGTGCGTCGTGGCCATAGCTGCGATATGTGTTTGCACGAGGATATGGTCGTCGCACGTCTTCAGATCCATCAAGTATGGCAAGGGCCATGATGTATTACCACCAACACTGCAGTATTAGATTCTAGGGCTCAGACATGCGTTATCGATCGCGTATGATTTACATGGCTTCCTAGCCAAATGCATGTAAGTGTCTAGTAACGACTAGCTTTATCTATTACACAGTGCTAGACCTAACATAGTAGCAGGAACGAATATAGCAACAGCTTACCCTTCTTCCTTAACAGCGCAGGCGAGAGACTACTCTTCATTCTCGACCCCGAGCATATTAAAGGCGCACTTAACAACTCCGCCGAACTAGACCCTAACCCCTTCATCCACGACAAGATCATAGGCGCACTAATAAGCAGTCCCAAAGCCGCTATCAACTACTACAACTCCCCAGAAAGCAACACAGACTACATCCGCCAACACACAACCGGCTCTAACCTCGGTCTCCTCGTCCAACGCCTTTTCGACGTCATGGAGCGCACCATCTCCGAACCCCTCGCCTCGACCCCTGATGGCACATGGCACGAAATTCCCGATCTTTACGCTTTTCTCGAATACCACCTTTCGTATGGCATAACCGAAACACTGCTGGGCAGTTCGATTATCGAGTCTTCCCCCGCTTCATCATTCCAAAAGCATACGCCGCCCGCGACCGCCTCCTCTCCGCAATCCGCACATGGACCATCAAGTCCGAGGCTCTGCGTCAAGCCAACGCCGTGAACACAGTGTGGGATCCCGTCGCGGGTTCGGGCCTCCTTCAAGAACGCGAGAAACTGTATAGCGAAATGCCTGGCCACGGTATGGAAGGCCGGTCCACTCAAACTCTCGGTTTACTCTACGGAGGAACTAGCCTAACCGTGCCCGTCACATTCTGGTATCTGTTCGAAACGCTGCGAAATCCGGAACTACAACAACGTGTGCTATCTGAGATGAAGGTCCACGTAAACGAGGAGACAAAAGCGTACAATTTCATGCAACTCACCTCACGCCCGCTATTCCAAAGCCTCCACGCCGAGACGACACGAATGTATAGTTCCAACCTCGCGGTTCGAGAGGTTACGAGTGACGTGTGGAAGTTAGACGGGAAATACACCGTACCCAAAGGAACCCAAGTCTTCATCAGTCATAAATTCGCCGGCCAATTCACCCAGGGCTGGCGTGCCATCCGGCCCCATACTGTTGCTAAACCTCTAGATACCTTCTGGCCTGAGCGGTATCTCGTCGGCACCTCCTCTTCCACCTCCCCCTCCCCTCCCTCTTCCAGGACCGATACCCGCTCAAAGTTCAGCGACGCAGGTCTAAGCGGTAGTTGGACGTCTTTCGGCGGCGGCGAACATAAATGTCCTGGTCGACATTTTGCACGCAATATCGGCATTGTGACACTAGCGGTATTGATGGGGGTGTTTGAGATTGAAGTGAGTGATTTGGAGAGAGCGAGGAGGCTGGATCCGGGGAATAAGAAAAAGGCGTTTGGGACGATGAGGCCGAGGGAGAGGATTGCGGGGAGGGTTAGGCGGAGAGTTTAGGGCAGGGTTTAGGGGAGGGGTGGGATGGGATGAGGTATACATGGCCTTGGACGCTGGTGATGGAGACGGATTGGATAGGATGTAGCCGGCACACGCTACATATTCAAGGCACATTCTACAGATACTTGCCTGTATGGAAATTTTGGTTGCAGTATACATACCCCCCGACGCTATCGATCCCATAGATTCCAATGCGTTGTAGACGTCACGCGTCAAAAAAAAACAGTCTTGGCTGGCGCCACCTGGGCATGGATCCTCTCCTGCAGTCTGTCCAGCGTCCTTCACACTCACACACACACACTCTATTTTCAAATCAATATCATCGTTGCCCACACAACAATGCCCACCAACGCCCCGTTCATCGTGTTCACGAGCCCAGATCCTTCCTCCGATGTAAGTGTCATGTATCACGAGCTCCTCTGCATCTGAACTCATGGCTTGATATAGGACGCGAAGCCAGAAGACCCTGTAGCTTTGCAGCTCCGCACGCTATACTGCGACGAGATCAGCGGCCACACCCAACGTCTCAAGGCCATCGAAGATCTAGCCAAAGGTCTGGGACTGTCGTTGGAAGACCTTCATGGGGTAAGCTTCCCTATCCACGCTATGTCGCTACCGTTGGCTAACGTTCACGCGTAGAGCCGCAAGCGGAAACAAGAGGCTGCCGAGATCCCGAGTTCTCCTCCTCGTCGGCGGTCTTCTCGGCTTATGCACGTTGCTCCTCGTATCACATCCAAGAGCTCTGAGCTTCCTGCCGCTTGTCACATCAAACAAGAGGACTCTTCGCTTCCTGCCCCCTGTCAAATCAAGCACGAAAGCTCCGCCCTGCCTCCCTATCTGCTCGTCCCCAATACCCCTGTCAGGAATGCCTTCACCGACACTATCTTTCCTTTCTACAACAAGTAGGACACGAACAACCTGACGCTGTCGCCCTACATTTCCAGTAGTGTCTCTAGGGTCCCAGAGAATGAGTCTGGTTGTGTAATCGCGTCATGTGGGATTGGTGGTTTCTTGATGCCGTAAGAGTCAGAGTCAGAGGGAGTCACGACGGGAGGAGGTGGTGGAACGTCGCACGCTTTCAGGGACTGTCCTACTCATTACCATATTTTTAGAGTTGCATGACATATGAATAAGCCGCATTACCTGTCATCGCTTCGCTTTTGACTCATGCCTATGTGCGATGCCGTTGCTATCCACGTCGCCCCTTGGGTACTGCGATGCTCGTGTTACAACGCTTCAGCTGCGTGAGGCCATGCTTAGGTGCGTTCATCCTTCCACACTGGTTGCTTTATCGACGAACAGGCTTCATGGCATGACCGCGTTCCATGTCAACGAAGCGAAGTTGCCAGTGGTGTATTGCTTGTAGCTGCGTGAATGGACGTTAAACACAGCTGAACAGCCGCCTAAAGCTGTAACTAGAAGACTACATCGCCTCAGAACCTGTATTAATATACGCTTTCACATCGATGTAGTCTGCAGCACACCCGTTTATCTTCACCCCAATATAAGATGTAGCAACAGTGCCCTCGAAGCGTCCAGAAGACTAACAATAGATTCTAAATAAGGAGTCTCGCTATCCAAACCAAGACTCCCCTCCTACTTCTCCAACCTCCCAGCCCTGCTCTCATCCCTCCACCACTCACACTGCCTCCTCCTAATCCCATCTCCCTCAACCCTACTATTCCCAAAAGCCTCCATCCTTAACTGCAACCCCGGCCTCCCCTCACCCCCATCCTCATACTGCGGCCAAACCGGCACGCCCGTCCTATTCCCCGCATTCGGATCACCCAAGGCAACGAAGTCGGAGAAATACGCGTTGAGCAACTCCTTGCCTACTTCGGGGTACTGCACTCCACCGCTACCGGCCGGTTCAGCCCATGTGTACTTTGTGTCGGCGGTGTGGGGTATGCCTTTCCAAGTCGGGAATGTGTTGTTCACGGCGAAGACCATTTTGTACACGGGGACTGAGGCAGACGACATGCGCATGGCGGTTTCTTGACCGGCGCAGACGTACATGTAGTCGGTAAGCGCGGCGGAGAGGCGGTTATATTGTGTGGAATTAGGGCTGTGGGCATAGGGGCCGTTGATGTCGTCTGCTGGGTCAGGGTAAAGCTCTTCGAGATCGGATAGATCGTCAGTGGTCAGGCCTGGGATGAGGTTCTTCATGAAGGCGAGGAATTCTTCGTTCGTGAATATGTCGCCGGGGGAATAGTATTTTGCTTCGTCGACAACGTTGGTGGTGATGGTCGGGATGCGGTAGAACTGTTCGTTGATTCCGGATGTTGAGCCTGCTTGTTCAAGGAGAGGGCCGCCTCGCGTGGGTTGGAATGGCCACGTGATGGGGTATTCTGATGCGCGCCACAGCAGAGCGCTGGCGTTCTGGATTGCATCGATGGGGACCGAGCGCAGGCAGCTGAGGATTTCGGCATCGGTGCTGTTGGCTACTGCGCTGCAACCTGTGTAGCTAAGGTATTGCGCAAATTGCTCCTGGTACAACGGATAAGATGCATTGGGGAAAGCTCGGGCAGTCACACTGCCGGATTGGAGGAGAGCCTGCGAGAAGAGCGCTGGTGCATCCTCGGTTTTGTTGTAGTTGTGGAAGAGATGAATGCCGACTGAGTGCGCACCAGCTGAGCGACCTCCAATCGTGACGCGAGAAGCATCGCCTCCAAAAGCCGAAATGTACTTTTGAACGAACTTGAACAAGGTTTCCTGATCGCGGAGTCCGAGGTTGAGAAGTCCTTCGCGCTCAAAGACTGGAGACGGGAGGAAACCCAGAGAGTTGACCTGAACGACATTAGCTTTGCTCGTATGAAGGGAATGGCTATGCCTACCCTGTAGTTGAAAGTGACAACAACCAGCGGCTCCCTCGAGTTAGCCACAAAGGAAGCACCATCGAAGCTCCTCGCGCTACCAGCAACGAAGCCACCCCCATGGATCCAGATCAGCACCGGTAGCTCCGCATCATCCGCAACGCCCTGCGGCCGGAAAACGTTCATGCTCAAACACGCCTCATCCAACTCATACGGGAGTTCGTCTGGATCCTGGAAACACGAGTAACCATAACTGCTCGCATTTATAACGCCGTCAAAAGGCTCCGGCGCGCCGACGGGCGCGAAACGTGCCTCTCCAATAGGCTGGGAAGCAAAGTCAATACCGAGCCAGGCGTCTACAGCGCGTGGTAGAGGCTTCTTCGTCAGAGTTTGCGAGACCGTGGTGCCGACAAAGGTGCCGTAGCCGGGAAGCGTGACTGCAGATGAAGTGTTGTATGCTGCAGAAACGCTAGATACGCTGGTGGTGAGCAGCGCGAAGCTGGTGAGTAGTCGCTGAGCCATGGTATTGTGGCCCATGATGGCGTCGATGCGGGAATGTAGAATTGACGTGACGCGCTCGCACAACGCTGTAGTTACGTCCAGCGGCGCCATCGTTGGATTGTATATAACAACATCCGACGTATGCTATACTTGCGAGATCGGTCGTATACCTTGCACTGCGTTGCATTCGTATCGACGTTTGTCTCCACTCCTGACTCCACTACCCCACAATCTGCCTAGTAATCAACGGCGCGATGGTCTTGGTACCTGCTACATGCGGCGGCGACGTACGCCAACGCGGAGATACGCGTTATGTCGGCTGTTATCTGTCATCGGCAATTCGTCGGTACTTTATCTGACAGCCGATCGGATGGCATCCGACGGCGACGGATGTTGATAAGTGAGGGCGGATGGTTGTCGATAAGTGTTGAGGTTGGGAGATGCAGGTTGCGCGAGCGGAAGTTTGCCGGATCCGGGTAACAAAACCCCGGGGGCCGAGCACCCTAAGCCACGACGATATCGATGCCAATGACACGGGTTGGCATAACAGTCGACTATCGTTTCGCGGTAATTCACTAGAATGCGGTCCTGCCAGTTGGGTACGCGTTTACTTACCTGCTCTGGTACACTAGTATTGGAGATATGCGTCTACCTAGGTATTGACATGGCCTCAGGCATACTGAGCCATCAAAGAGCATGAAAGAGTCCCCGCTATATATGCCATCGCAAAGGTCGCTTCGAACAGTCTTCTGTCGTCTTCCGCACACACAAGGATGGGTGTTGTTCGCTAGAACCCGAGACCATTATCTGTGCACCACAGTCTCCAAGTTGATTGCAGATGTCCTAGATGCTTACTTCGGTTTCTTAAAATGGTCCAATGTTAACATATAGCATGACTTTAGCGAGTTTGTTGAGAACGTCGCTGTTGCGTTCGGGTCATCCAGCTGCGCGAAAAATCCCTTATCGTTTTTGGATTTCCGAATCAAGCTGCTCCCGAAACTGGAGTGTTTGTAAGAGGCTGGGTACCCTATTCGAAAAATGATGGAGCCTCGTTCGTCAGGTGATGATTTCATAGGCAGTCCCTGGCCTTTCATTTGCAAGAACTTGGCTGTCACGGGCCCGTCCGCATGTAGCGATATCATTTTACCATCGACATTTTGGACGTTCCTCTTCCAGCCTTTCTTCTTTTCTGCTGATGTAAGGTGGATTGTGTGGACCATATCTACATGAAGATGCTGGAATAGCGGATGTGGTTTCTACGAAGCATCAGTATGTCAAATTCGTGTCTCAGGATTTGAACACTTACATGTCGAATTCTGAACAAGAGGAAGGTTCCATGCCATTGTATTGGGTCTGTTCGCACAACATAGCAGATCCTATCTTTGTTGAGCACTCCCCGCTTGATCTGTAGGCTGATAACGATGTCTTCGAAAGACTTCGAATCGTGGGACCCTGAATTGACAGTATTGCGCCGGAGCGTGAATTGCTTGCTCGTCCCGGTGAATACCTCTTCAAGAGTCACATAGACATACTCCCAGATCACACCTGACGCCACTGCCCACGGCTTATCGTGGCAAAGTGTTGGCCCGACCCAGCACCTATCTTGCTCGTCAAAGTAATGTAATTCTCCGTATTCCACGACAGTACTTCGCGACCATTGACAGTTCCTTAGGTCGATGAGCGTGCCTTCATGTTCAGCTGATTTGGATGAGTTTGCGCGCTTGCTACTCGTCTTGTACATGAGTTCTTGTTCTAATTCAGAGATAAAATGTGGAGTAACGAGACCCTCCGGAGCTTCATGGGCTTCCAGAGGTTCCTGAACGCCCTCAGACTGACTAAGTTGCTCATCCGTGTCAGACCCGTCGCCTGAAGAGTCAGGGCTGTTACCGCGTATGTGACTGTCGTTTGTGAAAGAATCGGTGTTTGACGGCTCTTGTACGCTACATGTGTCCGAACTGTTGCTGCTTGAACTTTTCGTGGCATCATCCCCGATAGCGGCGACATCGTTATCAGGCATCGATAGCGGTTGCGTGGTTTCCGTGTGTACTCTTTCCACCCAGGCGTGAACTTCATATGACAGATCAACATCAACTTCCGTCATGTGGTCATCCAAGACCTCGTCTTCCAACGCTACCACATCCTCCGAGTTTATGAAGGCCGTGGCATCACGTCTACCCGCAAGCACGTCCATATGAATCCGATCCAGTTTCGCCCGAATCTCCAGGAGCGACAGGTAATGCGCCTCAGTATTCCGCTCGATCCTAGAAAACGTGCCGACATTAATGCCGGTCAGCAGTTGTTGCAACCGAACACTATGCGTCGCTATCTTCTCCCGTATCGCAGCTTGCTTCCCAGTCGTAAACGCCAGTCTATCCCGATATCGCGCATCGCGTTTATCGAGCGAGCGGAAGTCATGCAGTATCTTCTTGACCGAGCGGAGGTCGGCTTTGCAGTCTTGTAAGCGCGCAGCGAGCTCGCCTTTCTGCGCGGGGGAAAGCTGCTGGAATGAAGACTGGGGGTTCTTGCACTCATCATCGAGAGCGAGGAGAAGTGTGCGTAAGGAGGCCACTATTGTGCGCCACGTTAGTGCTTGTACGAGTCGTGTTAGCGTGGGAGGCACTCACCATCTGATGTGATCTCCCTGAAGTTGTCGCCAGCGTTCTTACACGACTTGTAGACTGAGTACGCGTAGTTGCCCACTAGGACGATGTCACCGATTGAAAACCCGAAGCCTGACATTGTGTGGTGTATACGAAGTGACGCTCAAGCCATGAGGATGAGCGCTTGAGGTCATTCTCATGTCCGGTCAAGGCTGTGTCACAACCGATGTGCTGCGGCGAGGTTGAAGGATTGTGGCGGGGTTGTTCGTGCGTTAGCGCCACGCGAGCGCCTTCACCCCATTCAAGGACCTCGGGAAGACCCGGACATCTACCTCCCACGTTGACCTAGGAAAAAGCTAAACACCCTAGAGCCTACATGATAGGTGACGGAGCGTTAATGTAGGCTCTTAATCTGTTTAGTATTTTTCTTGTATAAGGTGCTCCTAGAAGGCTACCCATGTAAACTGTCCTAGGACTTCATCGTAGAGAGCTCCCTCTGGTCGCATCAATTTGTCCCGCTCTACATGAAAATTTCTCACCGAGTCACCGTACCAGGTTGAGTTTCTACATACGTTGAAAATGTCAAGCTCACTACAGAGCAGGAACAATCTGAAAATCATGGAAGTGTGACGGATAGTGCCATTGCTCTCGAATCCAGATGTGCGAATGATACCGCGCTTACAGCAGAAGTCGTGACCAACAAATTTTGAATGATATGCTACAAGCCCAAACCCTAGAAAGATGTCCAGGAGCCTCAGCTGCTTTCCCCATTGAACCATGACCGGAAGCAACGCCGAGTAATAAACCTGTGCATAATAAACCTTCCCACCTATCTCCCCATCGATACTCATCTCCCCATCCCCCATACCCCTCCCTAACTCCCCCCATCAAACCCCCTATCCAACTTCTTCAGCGCCTCCTCCACCTCGACGGCCCTCTCCTCCCCACCCCTCAAGCCCTGCAGCCTCGGCAAATTATGCATGACCCGCTCAACCATTTCCTCCAGTGCTTTAGGATCTCTTACACCACCCCCGACACCCGTCATCGTACCTCCAATCCCACCTAGAGCGGTAGCGCGCATGTTGTCCCAGACGGCTTGGGCGGAGTCTGACTTGGCTTTGCCTTTGGCGGTATTGTTGCTGTTGTTGCTTGGACTGCCACTGCCAGTACTGTTGGTGTTGGTGTTGGTGTTGGTAGTCGTATTGATATTGGTGTTGGCGTTGTTACTGTTGCCCATGTTCTGACCACCCCCATTATCTGTCCCCTTCGTCAGCTCCGTATTCTGAATCGGCAATTGCTGCTGCTGGTGCATCGAAGACTGCGGCACATGTTGACGTTTCCTCAGCATGACCTGGCCTTGTTTGTCCATGTAGGTTTCGTACCCTTGTTGGTCGAGCACTTCGTCGGGGACGCGGACGTTGACTGGTGATCGGTTGCTGCTGGCCCCAACACTACCATGACCACTTCCACTGCCACTTCCGCTGCTCTCGCCTGGAACAGCAGGGTTCGAGTTTGGGTGTGGGCTTGATGTCGCGGCTGGGCCGGCAGGGGCTTTCGCTTTCGCATTGGCATCTTGATTATATTTCTCCAGCGCGTGAATACGGTCTTGATTCTCTTTATTGCCTTCCATGAGAAACCGAAGACACATTATAGCGTGTTCGCGTATATACGGGTTGTGTTCGTCGTAGGAGCAGCAGTTCAACACCGCCTCAATACCACCCAATGGCCGTATCTGATCTTGAACGTGCTTATTCTTCCAGACCAGGGAGCTGAGGACGAGGACAGCAAGTTTCTTCAGGTTGCGCCACTCGAAGTCTGAGGGTTCGTCGGCTGCTTCGTCCATGTAGGGTCGGGGTGATGGTGAGGTGGGTGGAGGGATGTAGGCCTCGGCTGCTCCGGCTGTGGTGTCGTACGGTCGTTCTACAGCGACTGGTTGGGGTTGGGGTGGCTGCTGCTGGTCTTGCTGCTGGTGTGACGGAGGGATGTGAACCTCTACTGGGGCTGGAGGTGGTGGCGCGTGCTGGACATTCCTCAGTGGAGGCGGTGATAGCTGACCCTTGGGTATTGCTGCGTCCAGTTCTTTCAGTAGGGTGACCAGTTCATGTGAGATCTCCCAATTGCTCAGCATTCTCTTCCATGTCTCGTGTTCTGTAAGAATGGCGAAGAACTCTAGGTACTGGTAAACGCCTTCATACATGCGTTCCATGTCCCACAGATTAAGAGGGAAGTCTTCGGGTTGCGCATGTCCAGCGCGGATCTGGCCTTGCAGGAAGATGAGGGCGCATGTTTGGGGAATGATGTGGCGACGGAACTCGGTGAGCAGGAAGTTGACCATGTGTACATCGCCTTGGTCGACTTGAGGGTGGTTCGCCTTGAGATGGCCCTTTGTGGGTTGGGCACGGGCTTGTCTGGCGCGGAAGATATTTGTGAGAAGCTTCATGATGACTGCCTGAGCCGGAGAGATGATGTCCTTGGATCTGTCGTTACGTTAGTCAAAGTCCGTGTTTCCGATGGGTACACTTACTCAGACTCTCTAAAGGCATGGTAAGCGAACGGCAGCAGCTGATTCGCAAGAATAGCCTCCATGATCTTGACCATGAACTTGAAGTACAACTCTTCCTCGCGCAGATCCCAAGCAGCAACAAAGATCAACAACTCGCGCAGCAGATTCCGGCCGTTGTCCTGCGCAAGAAGCAAATGACACCGAACACCATGCATGCTCCTGACACTGCTGAAAACAGTCGGATCGGAATGATGACCTGGCTGTCCCTCCGTAGGCTCAACGATTCCAGCCATGATGATCATGGGCAGAACCTCAATCTCAGTAGGACCCAGAATAAGCGGAACATCTGTGAGCAACCCTCGGCCTTCATCACCAGGTATGTCATCGTAGTCGTCATCATTGTCATCGTCATCCTCTGGCGGAGGAGAGGTAGGAGACGCTACGTCACTGATTAGCCCTGATGGACGGTCGGGGTCTGGCTCCAGCCGCTTAAGCAGATCTTCTTTGCCATTTTGGAGTATCTCCGCACCGAAGGATGGCGGGTATGTCACACGGAAATCGATCTCACCTGCCGGGGGAGACCGTTTGATGCTGGGATCTAGTAACGAGTCATCCAATGCTGGTTTCGGGGATTGCTTCTCCGCTGTGGGTTGGGATGCTTGTTCGCTGTTGGACTCGTCGCCAGGTAGAGCTGTGATGGATGACCGCATCCTGTCGACCTCCACTTGGAGTTGGTTGATGCTTTTCGCCAGCGCCTGTACACTTTCTTCGTTCTTGGCATGCTGATCCACGACTTTGCGGTATGTGCTGGTTTGAGTGATCTGATCGCGATATCGGGCAACGACATCTGCATAGAGCATGTTCCATTTCTGAAAGTGTTAGCAGGAATCAGGTCACACGACAGACGTAACCTACGTTCTTCTCCTCTTCACCCATGGTCTGCCACCTCCGCCTGCACTCGGCCGCAATTTCATTGGCACCTGCCTTGACACCATGATGTATCAGCGCCTTCTTGACGTCGTTGCCAGTCTCGCCAATGTAGAGCAGGAATGGCGAGGACGCAGGCTGTTGAGGAATCTTGAACGCGTCCAGACTTCGCGCTGCATGAGTCGGCAGAGGCTGCTCCTCCGGTGGCGGGCCTTGATCTTGTTGCGGAAATTCGTCCATTTTGTACTTCATGTCGGCAAAGTTGGGTAGTTCATTGTCGAGATGACTGTCGAATAGTTCGATCCAAAGCATCAGTTTCCGTTGCTCGTTCCGCGCGATGAGATTGTTGAGGAATTGCAAACAAGTGATGAGCAGTTTCTTGTAAGCATTAATGACGCCCTGCCATTTGTCCTCGTCCTGGGTTCCAGCCTCGCCATCATAGCCCCGCGCCGTAACGCGTACGCAGACATTGATCAATGCAAAAATGTCCTTGTCAAAGAGCCTGTCCGCACTCAAATTCTGCACCCTCTCGCCATGTACCTGCACATTCCTTGCAATGCACACAAGCTGATTCAGCCGTTCCAGATCCCTCAGCAGGCTCGGCGAATAGCTTGCGATGAGCGGGCCCGACAGACCCTCATACTCAGGCGCAGCAGGATCCGGCGCAGCGAAACAGCGGCGTTCGAGCGAGGGGATAGCAGCTTTAAGCACGCCCGCGAGATCGTCCCAGAACTCCCACGAGAGGCCGAGTTCTTCGCGCAACTCGAGGCTCTTCCGCGACTCTTCCAGCGTCTTCTTCACCACGTCGCGCTCCAGCATGCGCAGTGTATCGTCCCGGACATAGCCCGGGTTGTGGAAATGAACGGTATAGGGCGCGAGCGCGAGGCGTAGTCGGGTGAGGTAGGGTCGCGCGGTCATGCCGGACGAGCTCTCGGGCCGCTCCGAGTCGCCCACGCTCTCCGTGTCGTTGATGCTGCCTTCGGCCATGGCGGGCTCCGTCTCAGGCTTCACGTCGGGCGGTGATGGCGCGCGGCGGTCCCAGTCATTCCACAGTTGGTGCTCGGCGAGTAGCGATCGGTAGACCCATACACGAATGGGCCCGGGTGCGCGGAGGATACGGTAGACGTTGTTGGAGGCCAGTTTTTCGACTATGTTGTGGTATTGCGCCAGCGCTATGGGTGCAAAGGCGAGGTGGGCAGTCTCTTTGCCCGTGTCTGCAAACGGCGAGGGGAGATGCAGAGCAGCAGGCAGCGAATCGGAGTGCGTGGAGGAGCCAGAGTCGGAGGTCATGATGGCGGCGGCGTTGACCAAAAATTTACTGTCGCCTCAAGACGTTGCCCCACCATGGACCTGATCCCCCACCTGACGTATACAGGACGAGGTAGCGACCCCTTTTACATTTGAATGGCAAGCGTCACTCACGATGGTTCTGATCGATTTCACGTTCACTCACATCAATCATAAAAAGTCGATTTGTAACATTTTTCATTCATACCAATACTGGCATCATTGATATGTACGGAGCATATGAACCTCGAGTAGGCATAGTATTTGGCCCGGCGAGTCTAGTGGTACCGCTTGTCTCAATCTTGGAAGCAATGTAATGTGGTCATGATACATGGTAATAGTATCTCCCACGGACATGAATTGTTCCGTTGACAAAGCCTTTCAGCTTTGCGCTGTGCCGTTAAGCATGCACGCGTGACCCT